CTCTTACCAATTGTGGTTCCAAACATCCGAATTGAAATGCAGACACTTTCTTCGCTGGTGTAGACGGGCATTTTTGGGTGTTCCATGCGTGATATGTGCCGCTTGAGAGTGGCGTGACACTTTCAACATTTGAGTTGGCAACATCTTCAATATCTAGTATTATTTTGCCATCTCTTGTGAGTCTCAAGATCTTTCTTTGACCACGAAACACTTTTCTATGGGATGGCCGACAACTCGATGATATTTGCAATACTTTGGGTCATTCATATTTCCTACTTCTTCGGGCCATTTTGGTTCCGGCAAGTTAATCAATTTCCTTGCTAGCAGCTCATCAAAGATATGAGAGACGTCTGATTCCTGAAAAGGGTATTCTTTCTCTTGCATTTCCTTTAACGTGGGTCGACGTCCGTCGTTTGATATTCGATGCTCACCGGTTTTGTCGTCCTCGTTCTTCGAAGGAATTTTGAAACCAACTATTTTTACGGCCATTGACTCCTTGGTAAAGGTTTTAGCGAACCTTTTCTTTCTCTTGAAATATTTTATTTCCATTTTTTGACCATCTAGCGGGAGTGCACTCTTATGTTCACGATGCTCAACTCCATATCGTGGGCACCCGTAGCCAAATCTTCAAAATTTCGAGGTTTAATCCACAACCTGTTCATCTTCCCACTATTTCGCATTGGTAAGCTCGATCATAGTCACAATACGGCGCGTGTTGTAGAGGCGATTCAAGAATTTATGTTCCATATCTTCCCAACTGTTGATGGACTTGGGTTACAAATCCACGTACCAGTCAAAAGCATTTCCTTTGAGTGATCTTACAAATTGTTTTACCAAGAGATCACCATTAGTCCCCGCATTGTTTCAAGTTTCAATGAAATAAGCGATATGTTGCTTGGGATTCCCCTTTCTACCGGTTGAAGCTTTAGGGGTTGGTATCCCGCTGGCATCCTTATTGCATCGATCCGCTTAGTGTACGACTTTCAGTACATGGGTGAGAGACGGTCGGTCATATTGCGCTTTGATGGTATTGGCAATCATCTCTCGCAATTTTTGAACGGATAGCGTGGCAACAGACATTGAATAATGAGTGGGGCCTTGCATAAAGTCCGTCTTGGGTTGTGCTTCTTCCACTTGCTTTGCTTTCTCGCTGCGAAGCGCGTAAGATTCGTGCTTGGTGCTAAACTCCCCAACCTCTGACTGTTCCAACTTACCCATTAATTGAGCGATTTTCATATCTTTGTATTCGACTATTTTTTGAATATTAGCCACTGTTTGGGCCAAGTGCGCTAGTTGCTCATCCACGGAAGTCGCATCAACCATCATAACCGGCAATGTTGTGAAGGCTTGAGATTTGTAGTTAATCTCTTCCATGACTGAGGAACTTGAGCCTTCTGACGTAGTTATATCATCGATCTTTCCCCCGGTGGATGATAAACCAACAACGGTGGCAATTTCGGCAGCGTTTTGGATCAAAGAGTTTTGGGTTCTTCTTTGGAGACATTGGATCGTTGAACAAAAAGATATGCGCTTTGACGTAGGAGAGGAGATGAGAGGCAAAGTGGTTCCACCGGGCGTGCCAATTTGTTAACCACAATTTTAAATGTCTGCCAAAATAAATTACAAGACAAGAAAAAATAGGAACAAATAAATATTAATCAGGGGGGAATGGGTTACAATCTTTGTTGATTCATCTGATTCTTTTCATAGATTTAATCCAAGGGCCGAAGCTTGTTCTTGAATTGAAAGCTTCATTTCTTCCTTGAATTGCGGAAGTAGATATGGATATCTAGAAATAGATTTAGAGATTTCTAGGTCTTGTGGATATGGTGCCTTGATGAAGATGTAGAACTTCCGCGGTTGTTGTTCTTCGTCGTGGCAAGACCTCAAGACTTGAGAGCTTTTGAGTGCTTGATGTACGCCTTACTTGATGCTTGTGTCCTTGTATGTGTGTATTTATGTGTGTTGTATGTCTCCTTTTATAGGCTCAATTTTTGGTTTTTTACTTGAAACTTTGGCTGGTGGACTTGAACACTTGCAACTTCATGTGGACTAGATTTTATAAGCCCAAATAGTTAACCCAAATGAATATGAATTTAGTACTTATTTTGAGTTAACTAACATTATACATTCGCGGAGCCCAAATTTAATGTGGACTCGATATAAAGCCCAAATTCCTTACAGGCTTTGATTTGAGATCCAAATTGATAACAAATTTATTTGGGTTATTAATTTGTAATTTAATGTCAAAAATTTGATATAAGCCCAAATTTATTATGGACTTTTAATCGAGATCCAAATTAATAACCAATTTATTTAGGACATTAATTCTTAATTTAATCTCGATTTTGATATCAATAGTACGGAAAGGAAGTTTCGACAAAGTCGACATGACGAAAATATATAAACGAGATTTCACAGGGTCAAACACTTATAGCCACTTTGATTTTTATCATAACCGAGAAAAATACAGGGTGCAGACCTTGGTTGCAACTTATTTTGGTTATATGGTCGAAGTCATGAATAGCACAAACATAAAAAAACTCGAAACTTTGAGTAATTTGGATGTCGGCCAAAAAGTTTGAAAAATAATGAATTATTATTAAGAACTGGTGTGGGCATACGGTTAATTAAAGAGGTCGAAGCTTGGAAAGAAAATGACCATAATTTTAATGGTAAACCAACATGATGAAAAAAGGTGAGGCATGTCTCCACAATATGGGGATGGCGGCATTCGGCAGTAGCATTGGGTTCAGGTGTATAGGGTGGTGTAAGGAAGTGAGAGATTCCATTTTCTTTAAAAAAAGGAACGCAAATGTATAAATTCTCCACCATTATCAGAGAATATAATGAGATAATTTTCTTTGGAAAATAATTATCGACAACATTTTTAAACTTAGGAAAAATAGTGGAGACTTCAGATCTTCGTTTCCTTCGGAAAAAGCCAAACATGTTTTGTGAAGTGATCAACAAAGATTACATAATACTGAAAATCCTTTATAGAGGTGATAGGTGCCGGACCCCAAACATCGGAATAAATCAGTTCTATTGGAGAAGAACTTTTTATTGTAGATTGATAAAATGGAGATTTGATCATTTTATTGTACTTGCAAGAATTGCAGAAGAAGTGTTTGTCTATGGTAGGGCACGAGATGTGCATAACCTGAAAATTTTGACAAAGAGTTCGAGTAGAACTATGGCCTAGTCACCGGTGCCATTGTGGACATGAGTAGTGGTTATTGTGTGGGCTTGTGTCTGTATTTGTGTTGCAGGTGTGGTGTTAGGAGAGCGGGTAGGCCATGGATACATGTCGTCTCTAGGCTTCCCTACCAGTAGATGTGCCCCAGTTCGATAATCCTTCACAACAAACGAAAATGGTGAGAACTCGATCGTAACATTATTAGTAGAACATAACTTATATACACATATATAAGATTCTTTTGCATTTCTGGTACGCATGTGAAAATGGCGAGATAAACAAGGTAATGAGAGAACCCGTATACAATATTTGATGATTTTTACGATCCCCTAGCATGATTTCTTCACTATCATCATATTCTGAGCGAAGAGATAAATTATGAAAATCTTGGGTAACATGGTGGGATGCACCGGAGTCCAAAAGCAATGTAGTGTCATTGTTGGCAGATTGAAAGGTGAGTTGTCCTGGGGTTTACCCGTGAAGATCTCTCTTGTTTAGGAGATGAAGTAATGTAATAATTTTGTGTTCTTTCTTTTAACAAAAAAAAAAAAAAAAAACAAAATGATCCCCTCATACTTATCTTGGTCTTGATTATATATTTTTGAACAACCTATTTATACATGTGATAGTATTTTTAGATATGTTTTAGTTATTAATCTTTTGTACTGTTGTCTACTGATTTACCATTTATATTGCCATACTTTTTTTATCTACTAGACTTCTTTTGGCATTTATGACATTAAAAAACTTAAGAACAAACGAATGCTTCATTTGGATGGAAATGATTTAATTTGGGGTAGTGATTTGGAGAAAAGATGAGAAATCCACATCAATTGCTCCATTTAAACTAAAAGGAGAGGTGAAGATTTAAAATACATCCCCGAATCCTTCAATCCAAACAAGTGCAAGAAATTTGTTATTATGTATTTGAAATATCTCCACTAAGTCCTTCCCTCCAAATGTATCATAAGTTTTTTTTTTTTTTGAGACATCTAAATGTACCATAAGTTATATGAGTTTACTCGTAAGCATTTGAAAAACTATAAAATGTTATTTTTTAAAAACCTATACAAATTTAGTAAATAAACTTTTCGACTTGTATTAAAGTAGGAATCAAATTTTCAAGTTCTCTCAATTCAAATCCGACAAATTCCAATTTTGGAACAATCTACTTAATTTTGATTTACGAATTTTCAAAATATTCCGACCGGAAGTAAATTATATATCAACAGATTGAAAGTTAAATTTTCGTTCCAATTTAATTTTAAAATAATTGTAAATTTACCTAACATTATTAAAAAAGAATAAAATATATATATTTTTTTAAAATCACACTAAAATTAGTAATATTTTATCAAAAAAAAATCGAAAATTTCGGCAACATCTTGGATCGTGAAAAACTTAAAAGTTACTCCCTCTGTTCCATAATATCTGTCTCTTTTGAGAATTTTTTTTGTTCCATATTATGTGTCACTTTACAATTCCAATGCTGCAATAATTGTTTATTTTTCAATTTTACCCTTATTAACTCTATAGCACTCTTCCTGTATTAATTAATAAACAAGGGTATTTTGGTCCATCAATATCTATTTTCCTAAAATCAAGACATATTTATTGAGAATCTTAAAATTTGTGCCAAAGTGAAAAACGACACCTATTTAGGAAATGAGGGAGTATATAATATCGGAAAATCTTGCGGCTTTCAGAATTTGAAATGAATGTTTAGATTCAAACATTTTTTGTTGACTAAAATTGGAAACCATTTTCTACTTAAAAAAAAAAAAGAAAATTCTGAAAGAGCTAATTTGGATCCATAATTTCAACAATTGAAAGTGTCTTTTGACTCGATCGATAAAAAAAAATGTGATGACTGTAAACATTGATTCACCTCATTCGACACAATCATATTATAATGTAGCGCGGCGCCCAAATCCAACGAGAATCATTATATAATCGGTGACAATCCAATACGTCATGAATTTGTCCGAAACTTGACAACTGCCGACGACGTCGTACTTGGTCTGATTCATCTTCCCCGCTCTAGATGCGTAGATCTAAATAAATTTCCTCCAACTGAAAAAAAAATCCCAACTCAAGGAAAAATGGCAGCGTTCATCAAGCTCGAAGATTCGCCTATGTTCCATAAACAGGCAGATTTCAGCGTTCTTATACTTCATATATTTACATATATATATATATGGATTTTGGGAATGCGTGTGTTTTCCTCTTTCAATTTTATTATATTCGGACAAAGTTTTTTGTTTCTTACAAAATCTGGAAAATTGATGTTTAGGTGCGATCGATTGAGCATACAGCGGATGAGCTAAGAGATCGTTGCCAGAAGCTGTACAAAGGCTGTAAGAAATACACGTGAGTGCATTTTTGCTCTTGCTATATATAAAGTGTTTACATCTTGGGAGTTGTGTACGATGTTGTCTAATTTGTGAACTCAATGTACTGTTAATTGTTCTTGTCAGAAACTTCATCCAGTTGTTGTGAATTTGGGATTTTGGATGAGGTTCAATTGTGACCTAGTTTATCAATGGGTTGATTGATGCAACTCGTATAATTGATTTGAATGATTGTATCAATCTACGAACTAGGTTTTCGACTTTTTGATTTAAGCTTTCGCTTTCCCATATAGTAGCATTACAAGTATAATTTTAACAGATCTTTTGAAATGGATCAGAAATTCGTCTTTCCGATGCATTGTATGAATCAGTGCTCGTCTAAATTAGTGGTCAATGAATGTAGTAATAACATTATGTTTATATAAAAACTCGATATTTGATTAATTAATTGGTCACAAGTAACAACATACGCATTTGATTTTGGGGTTTTTACGGTACAGGGAAGGGCTTGGGGACGCGTTGAATTGTGACATGGGCTTTGCTGCATCGTTAGAAGCATTCGGTGGCGGCCTTGATGACCTTCTTGGTGTATCTATTGGAGGTAATAAAAGTGGCGGCGTTGCAGAATTAAAAAATCAGACCACCCATTGATTCTTCTCGATTTCAGTTTCTTTTTTAGATAGCATGACATTCATACTATTTTTTTTTTCCCTAATGTTCTCTCGATGACTAGTTAGTTCATTTCATGGGTAAAGAAAGAGCTCATGATTAGTTTTTTTTAATTGGATTTTTAGATCTACTCATAGTATTAATAAGACGCGGAACCCGTTCATTTGATCTTGTCTCGCTAAGTCGAAAAGTCTGATGACAACTTATTTGAAGAGTATTTTAATTAATTAATTAATTAATTAATTAATGGTTCTCTTTGTTTCCTGAAGGCCCGGTGTTGTCAAAATTTATCCATGCATTGCACGAGCTAGCTACGTACAAGGAATTTCTTCGTTCTCAAGTGAGTTATGTTCTATTCGAACATGAAAGCCCATTCATAGAGGGTCTCTTGCCTTATTCAAATTTTACCACTCTACTATATTTGACTTATAAACGAGGACGTTATAAATAAGTCCACACATGGATTCGGCTGAGTTTATAGAGGCATGATTGTGAAGTATTGAGTGTAAATGCTCGTTTGAAAAAAGTGTTTTCAAATTTTCCTTGCTCGGATTCTTTAATCCTGAAATAATTAATGTACTGCAGGTTGAGCATGTACTTGTAGGCCGGTTGTCTCAGTTTTTGTCCGTTGATTTGCAAGATGCGAAGGTACGCATCTTAATTAGTCATTATAAGTTACAGAATAACCATACCCAGACAAGGGTACGATTTGCAAAATTTTAAAGTTAATTTTTTTGTTAGTCGATCCGATAATTCCTTAATGTTTGCTACATGTACGATGTTTCTTGTAGGAGTCCCGTCGACGATTTGACAAGGCCATATATGCATATGACCAGGTACTAAAGATGTTTCTGAAGCACAAGTTTTATATTATTATCATTTGTGATTGTTCCGAATCCAATTTTGACTCGTGAAACGCAATATAAGTATCAACTTAGCACATAACTAAATCAATATAGAATCTACCCCCGAGATTAAAGAAATTTCTAACTACAAGTCGAGGACCACCTTACTCATTGTCCAACCCTTTCTAAACGTGCATATATTTTGTTTCAGGCACGAGAAAAGGTTTCTTCTTTAAAAAGGACTACACGTGATGAAGTTGTTGTTGAACTAGAAGAGGTATATTTTTTCAATTTTTATCATTTTTGACTAAAAAGTAACCGTTTGTTAGTGAAACTTATCAATTTTCTTCTTTTTTTTTTTTTACATGTCAGGATCTACACAATTCAAAGTCGGCGTTCGAAAGAAGCCGCTTCAATTTGGTACAGTGATGCACAAACGATCCTCTCTTTATGCTCGTATTACGGATCTCTATTTATCCAACTTGTATTCATCTGATTTTTGAGAGAGAGATTTCAGGTAAATGCTCTTACTAACGTCGAAGCTAAAAAGAAATTCGAGTTCTTGGAATCTTTTAGTGCAATTATGGATGCTCACCTACGATATTTCAAATTGGTATGTTTTTTAGTTCGGTTATTATCAATCTTTGCTCCTTCCTATCGTATTCTATCTGACTGGTATACCTATATATTGTTTTAGGGATATGACCTATTGAATCGAATGGAGCCATTCATTAACCAGGTATGTTAATCATTCCCATCTCGTGCATTATTTTGAGGAAATATAATAATGACCGTTAATCGGAATAGGGCGTTGTATATGGCCAAGATTTTTTTTTTTTTGGTCTTTTTTTCTAATATCAAATGTTCGATGGTGGGAGAAACTTATTTTGGAACCAATTAATTAGCTGTGTTCACATTTGAATAGCAATAACTTCTGGGTTTTCGTAAGTGGAATAATGATAATAGTAAGGGCATTTACCCCTAGGGAGCTTATAGTGCCTTATTTGAACCAATTAATTATCGTCGTTCTTGACATATGCCGCAATGTGTTATTAAGGACTATAGCTTAATGTTGAATAATTGAAGCATAGAAGAACAGCTGATAAGCTCTTACGTCTGATAAGATGTTTTAAGAGCTCATAGGAAGCTGTTACATCTTATTCTTAGGATTAATTTGTAGAGTGTTTGGATAATGAGCTTATTTCCTATTTTTACTCATTATAAGATCTTAAAAAAAAGGTGGGTAGAGGTACTTCTTTTTATTGCATATAAGATATTGTTTGCTTATAATTTTATTGCATTAAGGTTCTTCCATTTCCACTTTACGGGCTTGATTGGCAATTACCATAGATCTGCATAGAGTACAAAAGCATTATGTGTTTGTGTGGGGTTAAAACGATGTAGTCAGAATTCGATGCAGATTAGTTTGGTTCCTTTATAAACTACTTAAAAATCTACTTGTATCATATTATTTTTTTTCTACAAGTTCAGGTGTTGACATATGCGCAACAATCGAAGGAGCAGGCAAATATCGAACAAGACAAACTCGCAAAAAGGATCCAAGAGTTCAGGACACAATCGGAACTGAACGAGCTGCTAGCATCCAGTAAACTTGCTACGTCTTCAAATTCTATCGGCATGAATGGATACGGCATGACTTCGTACAAAAGCATGGAGGCAATTAATCTGGCCACTGCTAAAGGTGAGGTGAGTTTGTTTTTCAAATGGCAGATTACGAATCGATTTATTCTACTCTGTTACTGTCGTAAAAAAACAAATGGTGTATCGTTTCATTTGTATAGGTCCAGACAATCAAGCAGGGGTATCTTTTGAAAAGGTCTTCGAGCCTGAGAGCAGATTGGAAGAGGAGATTCTTTATTCTCGACAATCAGGGAACATTATATTATTACAGAAACAAAGGTGCCAAACCCGGGGTATGCAATAATTTTCGTTATCTCCGTAAAGCTATATCATTAGGCCCCGTTTGGGCCAAGATAAGCCATGATTAACTAAATAGTTGGACTTAATTTGATGTTTGGTATCCCCAATAAATTGCCGGGTCGACCCGCCAAAATTATATAATCATGGCTTATCTTGCCTTCTAATGAGTTCTTTTTGTTGGACGTTGCAAGCTCCAATAAAATAATTGGGTTTCATTAGATTATGTAATCTTATCTTGGCTAATCTTATCCTGCCAACCAAACGGGGCCTTAGATGATTAAATACATTAGAACGTCAATCCCGATTCGAGTATTTTGTAGGTTTCCGCTGTTCTGTCTAATTTCCATTTTTGTTTACCAGGGTTCACCTTCGTTTCATTCTTCGCAACCATCGGAGCACAACAATCGTGTATTTGCTAGATTTCGGTCGAGGCACCATCGAGAGTCGTCGCACGGTGAAGAAAGTCTAGGCTGCAGCACCGTCGATTTGCGTACTTCAACCATTAAGATTGATGCTGAGGATACTGATCTTCGACTGTGCTTCAGAATTATTTCGCCAATAAAAACTTACACATTACAGGCTGAAACCGAAGCAGACAGGGTTGACTGGATGAACAAAATCACAGGAGTTATTACATCCCTCTTGAATTCTCACCTGCAGCAGGTGAGCAGAGCATCACTGTGAATTAAACTATCCGATGTCGTACGAGGAATCCTTTTGAGTTCTAACATCGAGAATTTCTTTTTTTTTTTTTTTTTTTTTGACTGGCAGTTGGATTGGGGGAAAGAAGATAATGATAAAATATACGACCCCACGGGTGCATCTTTTAGTCGTAATAACAGTGGAAGTACTTCGGATGACATTAGAGTAAACCGAACTGATACTGTTTCGAGTATTCTGAGGGAAGTACCTGGTAATAATCAGTGCGCTGAATGCGGTGCTTCTGATCCCGAATGGGCATCTTTGAATCTCGGCATCTTGATGTGCATCGAGTGCTCTGGTATTCACCGCAATCTTGGAGTTCACGTTTCTAAGGTATACTCGAAACTAAATATATATAACTGAAGTTCTGATAATCGCGTAAAGGTTGGAATGATAAAATATTCTTCCCCGGGAAACAAATTTACAGGTTAGGTCAGTGAACTTAGACGTAAAGGTTTGGGAAGCAGTTGTGTTGGAGTTATTTAAATCTTTGGGGAATGCCTACTGTAATTCTGTCTGGGAGGAAATGCTTCCACTGCAAAACGACTTGTAAGTCCGCTAACCTCTGTTTTAACAAATTTCGGTGTTGTCAAATAGAATCTGGTTTGCAATTAATTAATATAGCTGACTTTAATTTACGAATTTGTGAAACGAATTAATTCTTCACAAATGATCATTTATTTGAACGATTGGTTCATAGGCAGTAAATACAGTGGCAGGCGAATTAGTATAGGTTGATCAAAATGCATAAAAACAAACCTACACTTGCCTAGGCATCATTAAGCCATTATCATCCACTCGGAACAACAAAATATGGTTACTGCTTGGAGAAAGAAAATGATAACTTGTTGATTACATTAAGGGGTAAATTACGGTCACCCCCTTTAGTTACGGTCAAATTACGACAAAACTCTTCCTGTTTGGGTAATTACAACCACCACTCAACTATAAATCTTCTTTCACGTCCACCCTTATGGTGTCAAATTCAACATCTTCTAGATTCCGTGGAATGTTGTCTAGTTTGTACGTGTTTTGTGCAGAAATGTTGTTTCTTTCTGATGCAACACAATCTGATATTTATATGATATTTATAAGCCAAGAGACACATCTTATGATCATCTTGTTTCAAAATATGGAGCTCGAATGGGGTATAACGGGTACAAACTGGAGAATATTCCACATAATCTAGAATATTCCACTAAATTTGACATCGAACGTGTAGGAAGATTTCATAGTTGAGAGGAGTGGTTGTAATTACATAAATATGAGGGGGTTTTCCGTAATTTGACCTTACCTTAGGTAGTGACCGTAATTTACCCTTACATTAAGTGCCATTTTCAAATTGCGGTCAGTATATATATATATATATATATATCAAATTGGTTGGTTCAATGTATACTTGGTTTTACGAAGAATTTTTGTAATGATGGCCAGTTTTTGTTGAACGCAATCATTAACAGACAAAAAGAGTGTGAAACCGCAACAATTATCAAACCAAGCCCAGAGGATGCCACTAATCAAAAAGAGAAGTTCATTCAAGCAAAGGTACGATTTTGGAACCTTTTTTTGCATTTACATAAATCTCTTTGTATTTTCGTATCTTCTTTCTCCTTCATGCTCTCAACTTGTAAAGTTCGAAAACTGAACGGACTATTTATTGAATTCCAGTATGTTAGAAAACTTCTTGTAAATAAAGAAGCCACGTCATCAAGAAATCTTTCCGCTTCCACCATCTGGGAGGCAGTTAGGGCCAACAATCTACGAGACGTATACCGTGTGACTATAGCATCTGACGTGAATATAGTGAACTCAACCTACGACGAAGTAGCTGGTTGCAATTTGTACCATGAAGAAACGGAATCACAGCAAAGCTGTCATGATTCTGACAAGACACGGTTGGATCCAGCAACATGCGAGAAAATCAAATCTTCCCATGATCCAGGGGACTGTCTTCAGGGATGTTCTTTATTACATTTAGCATGCAACTGCGGGAATTTGGTGATGCTCGAGCTATTATTGCAGTTAGGCGCTGATATAAACAAGCGCGACGTTCATGGGAGAACTCCTCTACAACATTGCATCTTGAAGGGAAACAATGCAATGGCAAAGTTTTTGCTTCGAAGGTAAAATCCTCTTTTCGTAATTATCAGTTCAGAATAAAATAAAATAAAGGGTAAATTACAACCACTCTCCTGAGGTATGGTCAAATTACGTTAAACCCCTTATGTTTGGATAATTACAACTACCTCCTCAACTATGAATCATCTTACACGTCCATCTTTATGGTGTCAAATTCAACACAATCTTCTAGATTCCGTGGAATGTTCTCTAGTTTGTACTCGTTTTGTGCAAATATGCAATTTCCGATGCACCAGAATCTGTTATAAACAAGCCAAAAAACATATTTTATGATCATCTTGCTTCAAAATGTGGAGCTCGAATGGGATAAAACGGGTACAAAATTGAGAATATTCCTTATAATCTAGAAAATTCCACTAAATTTGACACTGCAGGGTGGACGTGCAAGAAGATTTATAGTTGATGGGTGGTTGTAATTACCCAAACATGAGGGGGTTTTTTATAATTTGACCATATCTGAGGGATGGTTGTAATTTACCCTAAAAAAAAAAGCAAGCTACTATTTGTTTGCTTGTGGTGTAAGTTTAATGAGATGATGCAATATTGATTACGACTGCATATGTTATTTATGCAGGGGTGCACGAGCATCTATAAAGGACGGTGGGGGATTTACTGCTTTAGAAAGGGCAATGGAAATTGGAGCAATAACTGATGAGGAACTCTTTATCTTGCTTTCCGAGAGTGAGTAAAAGATTGTCGAGTATTAATTTGTAAGTTCGTTTACACATGATTGTTTACTCGAGACGCGTGTTTGGATTTGTGGTGTATGTATCCATCCATGTATGTATCAATTTTGTTTTTTTGTTGAAAATTGAAGTCTTGTTGAACATATAACAAATAGGGTTCGAAAATGTGCGTTGCTCAACTTTTCATGAGATTATAAATGTCAAACTTGCACAGCAGATATGCTATTCTGAATTAAAGCAGATACGTTTATTTATTCTTCTAATGAGCTGAAAATCATATCAAGCTACTCGATGCTCGACCCAAGATCGTTAGGTTCTCTGTTATTTTCAATATCTTAACTACATTTGTCAAACTGAATTTCAGTTTTTTAACAATTAAAAGGGTGAAATACTTTTTGCATTTTTGAAATACAATTGGATGTTTAGGTTTTCTAGTTTTTTAAATCAAAATTGGAGGTTGCTTTCCACTTGTATTTATTTTCGAAAGGGCATATTACAAATAAGCCCATCAGTGGGAACTTATTCATAAAGAGATCCAGACAATATTCTCCTTTACCAATAAGTCCACACATGGTCCAGATTTATGTAAAGGACTAAAATAACCCCTCTTACTTTTATATGCTCCAATTTCATCCTTAACTTAAATTAACTTCAATTTGACCCCAAATTTCACAAATTATTCAATTTTGACCCAAAACTTTTTATTTTTCACAAATTTTTTTTTTTCAAAAACTTTTTTTTTCTGCCGGATTCCGGCGTTGACTTTTTTTTTTTTTTTTTTTTTTTCTTCCGGATTTTTTTTCCGGATTCCGGCGTTGACCGGCGGTAAACACCGGTCTCCGGCGTTGACTTTTTTTTATTTTTTTTATTTTATTTTATTTTTAATTTTTTTTTCTGTAACTTTTTTTTCCGTTTAAACAACAATATTGCTTTGAATGACAGTAATATTAACTATATTACTGTTAAACACAGTAAAAATAACTAAACTATAGTTTAACACAGTGATATTGCTATATTAATCTCTAGCACATTAATATTAACACAACAAAATTCATTATTATTGTATAATAAAGTAATATTACTATGTTGTCCGTTCAACAAATTTAAACAAAATAAAAAAAACCAAAAGAATTAATATTACTGTGAGTGACAGTAATATTACTATAGCAACAGTAATATTACAATAGTAGACAGTAATATTATTACGTTACTCCGTGAATAACTCAAACAAACAAAATATCCAAACAAAAGAATAATATTGATGTGGTTGACAGGAATATTACTATAACAAACAGTAATATTACCGTCAACCACAGTAATATTATTGTGTTTACAGTAATATTACAATAATAGACAGTAATATTAATACAAACACCACAAAAAAATAATAATATTGATGTTGTTGACAGTAATATTATTGTGTTTACAGTTATTTTACTGTCAACGACAGTAATATAATTACGTTGACTTGTCAACAAATCAAAAAAAAATAAAAAAAAATAATAATAAATAAAAAAATATAATATTGCATTAATTTACTGTCAACGGCAGCACAATTACATAAATGTAATGTCAACGGCAGTACAATTACGTTAATTAACTATCATTGACAGTATAATTACGTTAATTTACTGTCAGTGACAGCACAATTACGGTCAACGTTTAGCGGCGGACGTGGAAAAACAAAACAAACCAAACAAAACAAAAAACGTGGAAAAACAAAACAAACCAAACAAAACAAAAAACTTAAAAAAACACTAAAAAAAGAGACCGCCGGAAACCGGCGAAAAAATCCGGAAGAAAAAAAAAAAAAAAAAAAAAAAAAAAAAAAAAAAAAAGTCAACGCCGGAGACCGGCGTTGACCGCCGGTCAACGCTGGAAACCGGCGAAAAAATCCGGAAGAAAGAAAAAAAAAAAAAAAATAAAAATAAAAAAGTCAACGCCGGAATCCGGCGGCAAAAAAAAAGTTTTTGAAAAAAAAAATATTTTTTGAAAAAAAAAAAATTTTGGGTCAAAATTTAATAATTTTTGAAATTTGGGGTCAAATTGAGATTAAATTAAGTTAAGGATGAAATTGGAGCATATTAAATTATACTCCAAAAAAAAGTCAAAATTGAATTTTTGTGGTCAAAATTGAACTTTTATGGACAAAATTGATTAATTTGGATTACAATTAAGAATTGGGTATAAATGGTTGAGGGTAATATTGGGATATACATGAATGTTTCCTTTAGTTATAATAAATATTAAAGGGATGGGCTTATTGGTAAAAGAGATATGTCCCCTAAACCTAGAATAATAAAAATGCTTGGTTGGGGACTTTTGCATAAAAATCCCTTTTCGAAAAGCATAATTGTGATTCTACACACTTTTAGTTTTTATCAATTCCCTTTTTTACCTTTTTTTTTTTCAAAAATCAATAATAACTTGCCGTTTAGATTATATTTAAAACAAACTTGAATAAAAACTAAAATTTCAGGAATTAGATAAGAAAATTTGACTACGCGATCCAAAAAAGTAGAAATCAATTTTTTTTACTTTTGGTCCCTCATTTACCATTATCAACAAAAGACACTATTATACATTTTAACACATTGAGCCACTCCGTTTGATCAAATAGTCAACAACTAATGGCCAACGGTCGAATTGTGGCTGAATTTGAGAATTTTCGTTCAGCAAATTGCAATATGATGTTCTGAAACCATGAGATTAATTCAATAAGAAAACGGTAAAAGAAGTGGAAGATAATAAATGAAAAGACAAATCGGTAATGTGTTGAATTCCCGCAGCAAACTTGACGATTTTATACTTAATTAATAATGAAAAATTAAAATGTTATAAAATATTTCTTTTTGTAATTGAAAAATACATTAAAAAATAGTAATATAACAATTTATATTAAAAAATAAAATAAAATACTAGAAAGAAAAAGAAATCAAAATAATAAATTTATTCGGGTATTTTAATTAAAAAAATGTTAAATTTACGTATTTAAATAAAATAAATATATGTGTTGTATTAATGATGCCATTTTCATATATATACACATGTGTATGTATGTGTATGATTGTGCAAATTTATAATATGAATACTTAAATACATACCAACTTTAATATATGTGACAAAGCAATTGATAAACACACATCATCAATTGAACTTCAACTAAGCAATTTGAGAAGATGATATAGGAATTTGACACATGTCATTCATTGAGGCTATAGATCATCTTTTTATATAATATATAGATGATGTACAACTATATCATAGAAACCTCTATTCAATTATTAGGAACCACTTAGAGATTTCTAGGATGAGATAGTTCAGTGAATTCATCTATATGAGCACCCACTCATGTATGGTTGTATTACAATATTGATTACTGATGAGACATGGTACACATACACTAAGTTCTAGTCTCTAATGAGAAATGTTGTTATCCTCATTAATGACGTAACTCGATTAATTATCTCATTATTCAACTAAATCAATTAATAGTAATTAAAATAACTGTAAGGACTATATATATGCATGTGCAATGGACAAAGATATAGAACGCCAAAATGAATTTTGCCATTAATACGAAATAGATTGTTTATTGCATTAATAAGGAAAAACCACAACCATAAGTTCTCTTGTTGGTGACCTACTCTAACAATCTCCCACTTGACCTAAAACCAACTACCCATGAATCGTATCCCATCGAATCTCGATGTTTCTCGTGGACTGACCTGGACAAATGCTTCATAAAGGGATCTGCTAAATTGTCTTCTGATATGACTCGTTCGATCCCATCGAATCTCGATGTTTCTCGTGGACCGACCTCGACAAAGGTTTCATAAAGGGATCTACTACATTGTATTCCGATCTGACTCGTTCAACCTTGACTTCACATCTATCATTGATCTTTCTGACCACATAATACTTCCTCAGAGTATGCTGACTCAAGTATATCATCCAAGCTAATAAATTAATTTATCAATTCGAAAAACTAGATTAATTATAAACTAACATTTCTAATGAATTATAATCCTAACATGCGTAAGCAATCTATAATACGTCTATGCAGATCGATTAACACATGCAATATTAAGAAAAAAATCCAATTACAAGGTTTATACTATGCTACACCGGGTGAAATACACCGGGTAGATCTGTACCATTAATATACACACAAACACACACACACCCACATTGGTGTGTGTAGATCAACGGTAAAAAATCACCCGATGTAACCTTCACCGGGTGTAGCATAGAAATAACCCAGTTACAACTACTCAAAGAATAAAGATATATTTTTATCATATATTCATACCAAAAATACCAATTGGATGAAATTAACTTGATCGCTCTTCTACCAACACTTTTAGGTAATTAAAAAAATTCGTCAATCACTTCAATAAAATAAATCATAACCCGATCATATTCATGAATAAATTAAGCCCATGGTGAAGAAGTAAATGATTCACCAAACTTGCATAATATGTAAACTAATCCAGCAAATGCCACATAGGGTTCTAACGAAATCCTAGATTACCATTTTTGCTACACATGTTGTTTAAAGAAGAACAATAAAAATAAGAAAGATACATTGTTTCAAAAAAGAAGGGAAATAGAGAAAATATGATGAAGAATCGTTGTCGTTTTCTCCGTCTTCTCGTGTTTCTTACTCTAAGTTTTTCTCCGATATTCCATAAATATGGAGCTTGCCTTGGAAACCCTTTGGGCTCTTTTGCTTTGTAGGAAAAGGCCATAATGATTATATTGTCCGATGTAATCCTTGATTAGGTTTCTTGTATTACGGCCCGCTACTGATTCGAGGCCCGGTTACTTGTCCTTCCTTTTCCTGGAATTTCACGATTACACAATCCCACCTCTGCACCACAGATTATCTTGTCTCATCTTTCTGCTGGATTATTTTGTTTTTTCACTACCAAATTTGTCCTTTGCATAGTGGGCAAATTACAGATTACTTCGATATAAATAAATCTTCATTGACTAGATTTTTTTTTCTTTTTTTGTCCTAGATTGCTGTTTTCTGCTTTTCAATTTGAAAAGGTACAAATCCGAAATTATCTCCACTCTTTCTTCTTTCTCTTTGTGTAACAGAGTGTTGTTATTTGTGGGTGATGTTCAGCCGCTCGTAATCGAAGACGGAGTCCCTTGCAGCTGATTGTGTTTTTTGGATCTACTAGTTCGGCAGTCGTTGGCCGAAGACGGAGCTGTGGGTTTTATTTTGGATCTACTAGTTCGGCAG